CGGCGCCAAACCGCACGGCATCGTACCGCGGGCGAGCCGCCTTGCGCTGGGTAGAGATGAGGGAGGGGGAAAGAAACGTTTTACTCAGGTAAATAAAATGGGTTTTTCTCTTAAAAGGCCCCGAAGCTGCAGTTACCCTGGTCGTAAAATCGATTGTGTTTGCTTTGTAGGTCTGCCAGACCCGATCAGCGAAAACAATCTCCAAGTTAGCCTACCATAACGGGGTGGTGATAGTGAAGTGTCCCGGCTGCGGGAATCACCACGTCATAGCGGACAACCTGGGGTGGTTCTCGGATCTGGAAGGGAAGAGGTAGGTGGGCCTGAAGGAGGGGAAGGGACCGCAGGGGCGTAACTGGGCCCGCCTGAGCCTGGTGCCTTATTTCTGCGATGCTTTTAAAACGTGGTTCAGAGAAAACCAAGGGGTTTGCTGGGTATAATTCCGCTTCATCCAAGTTTCTTAAAGCACACACACTTGAGTTTTGTAATCTCCTGTAATTTGACCGTCGCTACCTGGGATCCAAATAAATGGCGTAAAGCCGCAGCAGCAGCCGTGCGATAGGCAGGCGTCCTTGCTGGTGCTGCAGGTGAATTCCTGTGCGTGGGGTTCTGCTCTCCCCAGGCTTTATCCAGTGACTGCTCGGTTTCCCTGCCTGAGCATTTCAAGGTGTAGACCCAACTGCTGCTGAATTTCAATGATTTCTAACTCCCCACGATGCATTTAAAATTTTCTGTGTAGCTGTAATTGCTAAATTATTGATCCTAATGGAAAATAATAGACCCAGAAGGTTTGGGTGACTTTATCTGCTTCTCAGACTCTTTATGGAGAAATACCACGGTAACGCTCAGGCGTGATTCACTGCGTAGCGTTAATCCCGAGAGCAAAGCGTGAGAGAGGGAGCCCGCGCTTGGCTCTTGGGTCCAGCCTTTGCTGTGGCGTCACTGTTGGTTTTCAAATCACTGTTAAGGAATATCGAGGAAATCCTGGCAGCCAAAGGGGAGAAGGTGAGACGTGTGGCTGGTGAGGAAGCCTTGGAACTGCTGCTGGAAAGCTCGGCAGATACCAGGTCTCAAGGTCAGCCCGCAGAGGGAGAAAGTGGGGAGGCGCCCCCAGAGACTGGCGGCAAGGGACAGACCTGACAAAGTGGATTTGTGTCGTTCTGCTGACAGCAAGAGAGACTCTTAACCCGCATTCCCCGATTTAGGTGGGAAACTTCTGTGTTTAAAATAAACTCGGGCATTGGTCTTTCTCTGTGGTCTGTCTTTGTCTTGCGTAGTTTTGCCTTTGATGGACGTAATGTTTATGGAGATGGAGTGTGGATATTTCTCCTGGTGCTTGTTTGCTGACTGTAAGGCAAGTCTCGGCGCTTCCGCAGCATCAGGAGCTTTGCTCTCTCCTGAGCAGGGAGCCAATAACTCTTTGTCCGTGTGCTTTGGCCTAGGGAGGTGCAGCTGTAGCTGGAGGCGTCAGGGACGTCTCCTGGCCCGGCCCAGGTGTGTCTCGGCAGCGGCCGATTGCAGAGCTGGTGGAGGTGGTCCCGTGGCAGAGCAGCTGAGGCAGTTTATTGGTACCACCTGAGAAGGACGCGCCCCGACCCTGCCTGAGTTTGCAAAGCCAAAAATGACCCTGCAGGAGGGTCCCATCGCTGGCTCCCGCTGCAGTCATGTGCTGCTTTTCTCTTTCCGTTGCTATCTTCAGAGTTTTGCTTCTGTCCCCCTTGCATCAGGGCTGAAAGTCTTTGTGGGTTACAGCATGAGCCGCCCTGTGGGAGCGTCAGGAATCCCGCTTGGGGCGATGAGTCGAGAGCAGCTCCCCGGCACTGGGGTTATGCAACTTCTTGTTGGTGAGGGGGAGGATGGGCGTGAAGGCAAAATTGATGTTTGTGAAGCATGTTGGAGATAAGTAGAGCACCTAGAAAGTTGTCTTAGAGTTACTTGACAGATACTGAGGTGCTTATTAACGCTACTGCTGCATGTTAAGATCAGTTAGAAGAAAAAATAATGATTTAATAAACGAAAAAATGGAGGTGTTTGCCAGCACGTAACACTCAGGTAGCGATGAATCAGGCAGCGAGGTGATCATATTGCACTTTGCTAGGCCTTACTTCCTCTGCCTGCATGAGTTTAACTTCTTTTGAGGTCCATTAGCCTGAAGTACAGTGAAGGGTCTGCTTTCTTATGGTTTTGAACTTGGAACTGAAGCACAATTCAGGTTGGAAGAGACCTCTGGAGGTTTCTAGTGCAACTGCCCCTTGTTCAGAGGAGGATGCTCAGGCTCTCGTCTTGAATATCTCTGAGGATGGAGAGCCCATGACCTCTTTGGACCCCTGTTCTGGTATTTGACCAATCCCATAGTGAAAAACCCCCCAACACCTAACTTGAGATGCCCTGTGTTCCAGCTTGCAGCCTTTATCTTCTCTCCAAGCACCGTGCACTTTGGAGGAGAGCCTGTCTGTCTCTTCTCTGCACCCTCTCATTAGCCAGCTAGAGAGAGCAGTGAAATCCCCCTTAGCCTTTGGGTCTCCGGGCTGAACAAACCCAGCTCCTTCAGCCAGGCGTGTCCAGGTGCTCGTGGTCCTTTATCAGCCAAGTATTCAGTGATTAATAATTATTAACGAGTTTACTTCATCTGAGGTGTTCTTAGTAATTTTGTGCGTGTTGCATTGCAAGCATGAATCAGAGCGACAGGGACGTAGTCGTGTTTTCCCGTTGGTGTGTAAGGTCAGAGTGATGAAGCGGTGTCGAGGGGCAGGACCTTCACCCACCAGCCGGCTGGTGCGCGTTCAGATCCGAGTGACGCACGGCGCGCTCCGAGACAGCCGGATGCTGGAGCGATCCAGGTGTTAGTGAAGAAACAGGAGCCTCGCATGCTGGGACATTGCTGCGTGCTCGCCCTGTTGTGAG